TTTAAACTTCGTGTACTTTCGAGCCTCCGACTCTTCGCTCAGTGTAGATGCAACCGGGACTAGGCCAAAGTCGACGTCTCGCTTACAAAACCCTCACCTTTTGGGAGCTGCTGAGGTCCTCGGGTGCAATGTACGCCACTTCATTTGCTAGTTTCAAGTTACTTTGGCCTTAGATACATTCCTGGAGGCTGGCCGCGAGCAGCAATAGGGTCACGGTTGAGTACTAAGTCTATCTCGGTATGAAAGGATTCACCGATAGTTGAACTTGCAACAAGGCGAACAAACACCAAAAAGAACAAAAGCGCATCGAATATGATAGATGTACTAAGGGTATACCATTTGACTATATACTCCATGAACCTCGTAAACTACTAATCATGAAACCTTCTCACAATCGACCCATGTCAATCGTAGTAAATCATTTCAGCACCGGCACCTCACTACCTAGGCCCAACGTTACGGCATAATGTGCTTATAGAGACATTTAATCGGAGTTGAAGGTCAGTTCAGCACGCTCAATAATAGGCGGGGGCTTGACAATATTCTTCTTGCGGAGGATGTGTCGCTTGAAGAAGTATGGAAGCCAAACCCTTGTCTCGTAAGAGATGAACTGCTTGGTAGGGACAGAAAAGACCTCTGATAGATCATTAGTAACTGCTTGACGATATTGGGCTTTGGTGACTTACGGTCAAGTTCTTCGAGGGTGAGTTGCTTGGTCTCGCGGACGAAGCAAAAAATCATGCCCCAGGCAATCAAGTTGAGTCCAGCGTAGAAGCCGACTATGATATGTTAGTCAATGCCGAATGTGATCAAAGGTAATGAAAACGTACAAGCTCCAGTGGGAGTCATGGCATTAGTCATTCGGGGGAATGTAAGACCGAGGACACCAGCTATGGATGTGTTAGTGAAATACAATTGACGAGGTTCTGGAGATTTACCAAAGGTGTTGTTGATGCAGACAGCCCAGGCCATACCCTGCTCACGCTGGATGGTGGGGAATACTTCTGCAGAGTATTGGAAAGCAACAGGGCCTTCTCCGAGGGAGTAGGCGATGGTGAAGAGGTACACGAAGCTACAATATTAGCAGGTGAACATTTGATGAATGGGGTAAGAAACTTACAGAACCACGGGACCAATCTGAGCGCCACGGCTGCCGCTGTGATTGAGGAGAGATAGACCAGCGGCCAACAAGAACACACACATGAAAGGGAAGGTCTAAATCATGTTAGAAGATATACATGAAATTCAGTTTCGATGACTTACGATAAGACAAAGAGTTCGTCGTCCCTTGGTGTCGATGAGGAACAAGGTGGGAATAGTGGCGATGACCTGAATAGCACCGTATCCAAGAGAGGCGTACAAGGCCTGGACAGCTGTGTAGCCAGCGTTTCGGAAGATGGTGGAGCTGTAGAACGAAATGACTGAGATCGTTAGCTATTGAAACATCACAGAGAGAGAATGACTTACTGTTGATACCGCACATCTGCTGCGCAATCATGACAGTAGAAGCACCATAGTTCGCGCGCCTGATGCGAGGCACAGCAAAGCAATCCCATAAACGCTGGAAATAACCCGCACCCCTCGCAACAGTCAATTCCTCCTCATAAATAATCCACGAGTAGTAAAAGTCCCTAGCAGCAATGATATCATGGGCTCTCAGCCTCTGCATCGATCTGAACCCCTTAGCATGCTTCCCATGCTTCATCAACCAACGCGGCGACTCGGGGCAGAAAAAGATACCAATACCGAGGAGGAACGAGGGGATAAAGGCAGAGCCGAGCTGCAGGCGCCAGGAGATTCTACCGGTGTCCTTGACGATGACGTTGGCGCAGAAGCCGAGAAAGATGCCGACGACGACCCAGAGCTGCCAGAACATGACGAGGGCGCCGCGGACGCGGGCGGGTGCCATCTCGGCGGAGTAGATAGGGACGGTGGCGTTTTTGGCGCCGATGCCGATGCCCATTACGAAGCGCACAGCGAAAAGCTCTTGCCAGGAGTGGGTGAAGCCGGAGGCGATGGGGGTTGCGGTGAGACAGCATGCCGTGATGAAGATTTCACCGCGACGACCGAAGTAATGGTTCAGCGGATCAACGATGAAAGCGCCACTGCACTCGTTAGCATTGCTCCAACCCAACTGAAGCGTAGGGAATTGTAGTCAGTGAACCTACATCAAACCAGCCGTCAAGAAGATAATCGAGTTGACCAGTCCAACAATCCATTGATCACGAACACTATTCTCCTCATCGAGCCCGAATTCCTGGGGAAAGGACAAGTTGGCACCGTTGGAACCAGTCTGATCCCAACCCTGAGTCGCAGCACCAATGGCGCACAGTGAGATAGAGTACCAGAGCATCTTGGGTCCGTGCCACTTATGATCGCGCTCGTATTCAAGGGCTTGACGCTCATCTTCCTTGAGCTCCTTGACCATGTTGAATTGCTCTTGGTCGCGGGCGACGAGGGCGGCGCGGGAGAAGAGCTCTGCGTGTTCGGACATGCCGTGGGTTTCGGCGAAAACACGCGCATCGTGGGCTGCTTGTTCAGGTGTGACGCGCTGCAAATTTCAATGTTAGTAATTGAAGATAAATTGTATACACCAATTGAAGTGATGGGTGAGTTTCAGATCAATTGAGTTGGGGGTCATCATCGCCGAGCTTCTTGGCGATTTGGCTAAGAAGGCTCGGCGATGAGCCAAGAGATCGCCAAGCGTACCTTGAGTGGGTTCTCCACGATGTTCACGGCAGTCGAACCACGACGGCCTGTAGCACTGGGCGGTACATGGCCAAGGCCATTCTTCTCATTGTGAGATGCCTCAGGGACATCAGGGCCCAATTCCTTGTTATCCATTGTGAAAGTGAGTCTTGGATGCTAAAGATGGAAGAAAGTGTGAAGGACTGAAGAGCCAAGAAAAAGGACAGAGGCCAAGGGTAGGTTAAATAACTTGGCAATTGAGAATGCGGGTGAGACCTGGGGCGGATGAGTTTGGATAGGATCATCGCTCATCCCCGGTTCATCCCCATCTTGTGAGCCAGTCCAAGGATGAGGAGGATGGGTGGGCGGGCGTTTAAGCGTATCCACCACATGCAACCTTTGGATATATCTGACCACCAGAATTTGGAGATGGGCTTGGGAATTGTGGAAACGTTAAGGTTATTGTCTCGGAATGAACCAGGGGCTCTCTCTTTACTCTCTTGTCTGGGGTTGCACTGAATGCTCCGATGTTAGACACGGGAGTTGACGGGGTAACTTTCCATTCCAACGGATGATTCCATCCTTCACAGTATCTCACAATCACAATGAACACCAGCATTGAAGAACAAGTGTCAATGTCTTATTAGAGTCTCACGCATGGGAGCAGTATCAATGGTAACGATCTCAACTCACCTCCTCTTTTTCCCCATGGAGATCCCTCATGAAAATTGGAGAAGCTCTCTCCGCTCCAACGAATCATCTCGACCTCTCCACGTGCTAGCAAAAAGCCGCTGAGCACCTTGAAATTTGGGGTCTGGGGATTTTGCGGGCAGAAAACACGATACGTACCGATTAATTCGGCTGCCTAAACGTCATCGGATAAGCGGCACATATGACGTAGTGGAGACACTTGCCAAGGCATCCATATTCTTCCCCTTCCAAGTGGAGATGTCCTCCAGGCATCCAAATAAAAAATACAGAGCTCCGTCCTAGCGCTCCCAATTTGCAGCCATTTTAAATGATTTATTGTTTTATGGTCTGAGAATGACTTTGTTGAGAAAATATCCCTCAAGTCTAGACGCTCGTAGCTACAAAACTTTGATCAATCTGCCGTTGGGAAAAACTTGCTCTTGACTACCGTATGTGCAGTGTAACATCACCGAGACATGCGCTAAACTGTAATGGTAGAATGCTCTGTGAGAATGAGACCATCGACGCTCGTTTTTGCCATTTTGAGAGAGTTGGTGCGACGGTGGAATAAGGGTGCCTAAACGGAACGATCGGCCTTGTTTGTGTCTTGGCTTGTACGAGTTCTTCGGGACCGATCTGGCTGAGAGAGCGTTGGTGAGATGGCGGGGTTTTAGACTGGCCCTATTGTTTGTTGAAATGCGGAGATGGAATGAACAACGCCTGATGATCTTGATCAACACATTTCAATTCATTAGTGTTCGATAACGGGCGTTGATCACGTCTGTCATCTGACTGTGTTGGTGTTTGGTCACTAATTGGGCAAAGACTCACTCCATCAACACTCCATCTCTGACCCACGATCATCATCCCCGGATTGTCGCTGGTCCATGACCCCCGGATTATCAACACGATACCCTCAGACATTCGCGATCTTCGCCAGGATAGTAATACCACAAATACTACTGTGATACTCGATCTTGCATTGTCTCATGTCAAAAAATCAGGCAGCCGAGCTGTATCAGACCCTTTGCACCGCAACCTTAAATTAAGCTTATGGGTATAAAGTGGCTGCACCCTCCAGCCGCACTCTTCTATGTGACTAACACCCAATGCTTTTGCAGTAACTTATTAGAGAAATAATTGAGGGCATCGTCAAAGAAACGACGTCACCGGGAATACTGCCACTTTTACGCCCGCCCTTTCATTGTTGCTTGATCTGTCACGCACGCTTGGCAGAACCCCACTACGTCATAGCCTCGCAATTATTCCCGCTTACATCCTCTTGAGCAAATACCAGCCTTGAAAATAAACAAAACACATGAGCTCTCATGCAAGCTTCAGAGTTAGGCATCGCCAAACCAATGAATACACCCTTGTTAACAGCTGCAGCCACGGCACCTGCAAATATCGCATTACCGCCCAACAACGCAAGTCGTCGTATAATAATGAGCCCAACTAACATGCAATGATGCATAGCTGCCTAATGCAGGATACAAAATTGAGGCTTCCGCTGCGACTGTGTAGTTACGCTATTATCTAAGTAGTCTCATGGGCACCTTTGATTTCTACAACAATTCCTTCTCCGTGATTTCTTGTCTCTCACTGCACTATTTGCTGTTACCATGGCGTCTAAAACGAATTCCGAGTGCTTGCTTAATACTACAGAATGCTTGTTGCAGACTGTCGCAAGTATCCTCACCGAAATCCAGCAGCAGAACAGTGAATATAACTGGGATCCTCTCACATTTACATTCACGGCTATCATAGGCATTATTGCCATTGCTTTTGCGGCTTTAACAGCCTTTCAAGCCTTTTTAACTGCCGGTCCTGGCCGTACTAAATCTGGCGCTTATGCCATCGGTCCATGGTCGCAGCGCAATTATCGCAAGTTCGACTTGGCTGAGATGCGATTTCGGACTACCTCTTCCACTCCAATTTTCACGGCTGAGTCCCTTGATTTTAAGCTTTTGAAAGGACCAACCGAGGACTTTATCAGTAGTCATGAAAAGCCAGGTGGACTTAGGAAAGGACAAGAAGATTACTTTCCGGCAACATGGCTTGCTTTTTTAACACACCTTTCCCTAGATTATACGAAGGCTTGGAAACATGTGAAGCTTACCGGAGCGGACTTTATCCCTTCGGAGTTCTCGGCTGTCCCAGCATATGGCTCAATCAGATTTGTCACAACTCTGGCTATGGTTCTCTCGCGGGGACTTGGTCGCCTAACCATCGATCGAGAATCTGGCTTACCAAGGGTTCGCGATACTTCCTTCAATCTTATATTTCGGCAACATCCATTGTTGGGCGCTATTGGATTTTTCGAGAAATATGGGAAGATGGGCTCCAAGTATTCTTGCGAGCACAGCGAGATACACAGACGATTACTTGAAACCCACGGTCAAATGAATATCCCCAAATTCAACCACATGGATCATCTAGACGGCAGACTGATTGAGATGGGCAACCTACTTACTTTTAGTGATTTTTATGGTGAAAAGATCAGTAGACTTTTCATGAAAAGTGTACAACGGACCTGCCCCCATCACAATGACGAGCCAAAATCAGCATGCCTCAACTTGTCTGATTATTTGGAGGGCTTCCATCCTGACTTTTTCACGAAAGGTCCTCTCTACTTACTGATGGCATATATCCCAAATCCGGCTTTCCTTCCGATTTTGTTTCCGTATAAGAAGGCCAAACTCCGCGAACGCCTTGATACTCTTTTACTCCAAAGCCGGTTTTGGGGCTTAAAATCCCTGGCTTCTTGCGACATTTTCCCTAACCTATCAGCGAATCATGCCAACAGCATGCTTGATATGACCAAAGCTGCTAATTCCTGGGTCAAGTCAACAATAAATCCCAATATGAAAGAGCTTTCACTGGGAGAGAAAGCCTGCCAGCATTCCTCAGTGTACCTCAACAAGAGCTCTACTATAGATCGCGAATACAATGAGGAGTCTAGAGAGGTTCAGGAGTTACTTTCGAAGGAAGTGGAAATTATCGATTCATGGTTAAGCCAAATTCAGTCCCAAGTCCCGTGCAGAAAGCTCACATTGAGTGTCATTGGGGATGGGATCCGACAAGTCATCGACGCTGTTCACCAGCAGCGCATTTCCGAGGTCGTGTCTCCCGCCAAGGACGCAACAAAGCTGCCCAGTCGTTGTATCCTAGCAAATAAACTTGGCTGTTTCTTGGAGGCAATTGAAGAACCCGGCATCTTGAATTGTCTCTATACAGTTGGGTGTGAATCCTCAGTAAAGTCTCCTGGGGCTATCAGACGTGACACATCTGAAGGTCTTAAGAAGATAAGGGATATGTGGCAAACAGAAGAATCTTCAATGGAGGATATCGTTAATAGCACCGATGATGACGCTGACGGTGGTCAAGAGTACAAGAGTTACGCATGGAAGCTACCTGATGTAATCAATCACCCACTGGATGACGTCCTTATCTATCGTGCGGTTTTGATAACCCTGGTGTATTCCTTAAGCAATGATACCAGCGCTTTGATGGATGAAGACTTAGGGCTAATTGTCCCAATTATATAATAAATGTTTAAAGGGAGTAGTGACCTTGAGGCTAGTTCTTATTCTAACAATATCTACATAATTTTAAATCCTATACTGCAAGGTATATTATGCCCCAGGGAATCAAATACGTCTGGGTGCGATCACGTAGCTATTGCTTGACAACCTATCGGCAACTGTGTAACGACTCGAGTGGATACACACTTAAATCAGATTGGAACTAGCTTTCTCAGCTCAGTCAAGAGAAAATTCTTTCGGCTGAGGCTGACTGTATCAGGCCCTAAACGAAGATTTCTCTCAAACAGTTGGACTATACTCACAGGCTTTTAAGTTGGTATTCTTATTGAGAATGAGTATAACCTGCAGCCAGAATTCACAGATAAGGCGAATAGATACGTGAGTGTACTAGTCAGGATCAGGTAAGAGGTGTCATTAACTGAAGCGATAGGATTGCTTACTCAGACACCCTGATACCGGAAACTTATGTACTTCTGCGATATCGTAAGCGGATACATCGCGGAAACATTTGACGTAGCTGTATATCAGACCCATTACTGCCCATCTCCAATGTCCACAAATATCTTGAAAAGAGCCAACATTTCAGTCCAGAAGTCCTAACTACTGCCGTCAGCCACATCATGAATGCCCCAGAGTCCGGTCGAGCCTTCTCGCCCAAGCAGGCATTGAAGCCTACACCAGAGCTCTATGGTGAGATCGTCGGTGATAGTATGGAACAACTCGCTGCTGCTTCTTTATCCTGTGTGGGATCTTTCGATGATCCCAAAGTCAACTTTCACGATGTTGGATGTGGCCTCGGAGCCGGTACCCAAGCTATCATGAGTTCGAAGCAAGGCGATATTACCATCAAAGGAACCGACATAAACGACGATGTGTTGAAAATATACCGACAGAACATAGCTAAAAGCCAGTGGCCTGCCGAGGGTCTGAAGATGGACGCGTCGAACCTTGAATTTCCCAATGAGACGTTCACTCACTGCATTGGCAACGCGTTGTTATTTGTTCTCCCAAATGACGGCATCGACGCTATCAAGGAGATGCACCGCACCTTGAAGCCTGGTGGTGCTGCCATTCTCAACTCATGGGCTCGCACGCCAACTCTTCCCGCTATCCATGCAGCGGCGAAAAAGACTCGACCGGCTGGTACGCCTCTGCCGCGAGAAGGGCTGGACAAATGGGAAGACAGAGACTTTTTGAATAATGTCATAATCAAGGCAGGCTTTGAAGAGGAGAAAGTGAAATTATTCCAAAAGGATGTTCATGTTACCATCGGCGATCTTAGGCGTTTTGCGACGATGATATGGAGCTTTATTGGGGGGACTTCGAAGGTGGGATGGCTTGAGTCGGATGAGGAGAACTGGGATATAGCTGTTGATGCAGTCGTGGAGACGCTGGTTGAGACGGAAGAGTATGAGAAGCTCGAGGATGGGAGGAATAAGATCATGTTTCAGGCTCATGTTGCCGTTGCTACCAAGTAGATCATGGGAAGCTAGGACTTTACTGCTGAATCAACTACGCCCATCTGCTTCGGGAGGAAGAAATAGCAGCTATTCATACAACTCACTTGATTGCAGAGACAGTTTAGAATAGTTATTGTATGCCATTATGTCGTCAATTAATTCTCCCTATTTGCGAAAGCGCCTGTATCTCTTCTGATCTCCTCCTTGCCTTGGGTTCCACCTCGACCACCAGGCTTTCCGGTAACAGACTGAGGAATATCGTGGCCCGTCGCACTGATTCCCTCGCCGACTCCAAACTCGCGGCCTTCGGAAGCTGAAAGTACAGCGTTGTCTGCTGCACCAGCCAAGTCGGAAGAGCCAAGACCGCCTGCGGCCTCACCATCGCGCTGATGAGGGTTGGGGACGGATTTGATCGTGTCTTGCTTCCCAGCATCGCCAGGAACTGGGATTCATGTTAGGGCTGTGAGTGAATCTCATTTGACGGAAGGGACTGACTGGATGTGCCATCCTTGGCCATATCGAACAGATCGCCGCCTTTTTTGGAATCAGACATGATGTAATTGGGTACCTCAGCGTTTGAATATAGCTTTTATTGATAGCAAAGATGAGATGAGATGGAAAGTTGGGAAGAGAAATTGTATTTATGGTAGTGATGCTATCAAGGTCCTTTCATGATGTCATGATCTCATTCTCAGCACATTCATCGATCGCATCGTCGTGACGTCAAAACCCCGAATCACTGACGCATCGATATTATGGAGCTAATGTATTCAGTGATTCAGAGATCCATTTGATTCAATCACATGCGAGAACGACTCAAACTCTCCATCTCTTGCGTCGTCAGGTCTTCCCTTGCTTTGTCCCGTGACCCAATCAACGTTCATCATATCTGGTTTCCTACAGACTCGACCGAGCGAGAAGCTTCTCGAGTTCATCCTTCCAAATATCAGCCATGATGTAGCTATCGTGTCCAGTGGTCTCATTGCTTGCAGGAATGGTGACTGCACGGCCATATCCAGGTGTCATGTCGTTCGCGACACCATCCTCCAAGAGTCCGAGTTCAATTGGGTTCAGCAAGTCATCGGCAGTATTGACAGCAGTCAGGGGAACCATGATGTTCTTGAGGCTTGCTTTGGGATTGTAGGTTTGAGATGCGTTCCAAGCATAGAGTTGATCATTGGCATCAAAATCTTCAAGGCGAGGGATGATATGCTCGTCGACGTACTTATCGACGGCTTCACGAGTCGGGAATGCTCGCTGCCAGTATGAAGGCGAAGAAAGAAGCACAAGCTGAATCATGAGTGCACCACCAAGACCAGCAGCTGGTTGCTTCTCATAGTCCCCGCCTTTCCAGGCTGGATCAATGGTGATAAGCTCAGTGATGAACTTTCGAAACAGGCGGTTATGGCCAGCTATCTCGACTGGAGAGGAAGAAATAGGCATCAAGGCATCCGAAAAGCCGGGATATTCCTCGCCCATCATCCAAGTGTGCATGCCGCCCATGGAGACACCAAGCGTCAAACGGGTCCGGTTGAGTTTGAAGTGCTCAGTCATGAGAAGATGGTCCGCACGGATCATATCGGGATACTGATACTTCGGGAATGAAGCACGAAGGCCAGTGTTGCTAGGCTTGCTTGAGTTTCCATGGCCGATGGCATCGCGCATGACGATGAAGTATTCGTTGGCGTCAAGAGGCTGGCCCGCGTTGAACAAAGCACCAGCGAACTCTTCGACGAGGAATTGAGCACTGGATCCGGTAGTGCCATGGAGGAGAACGACTGCGTTGTTGGATCCGTCTGGATTGACTTTGAGCTCGCCGATGGTCTGATAGCTGATGTTAAGGGAGTCGATTTTCTCCCCGGAGTCAAAGTTGAAGTCTTCAATATTAAAGCTGCCTCTCGTTGGCATGGGCCAAGATGCCTTGGCGTATATGAGGGGCGAGAACAACCCCACGGTGAGAATAACTTTGTTCCAAGTTTTCATGATTGCGATGGTAGCGATTCTGGTGACGCAGAGTTTAAGGATATGAGATATGGCAGTTGGGATTGTAAGTTTGAGTTCTGCTGATGAGGTGAGGATTGAATAGATAGTTCTAATTACCAGGACCTGATATACCTTATATACTCAATATCATGGGTCTATAAAGTTGGCACTCATCCTGCACATGATGACGATTAAGACATAAGCGAAAGCGAGCCTAGGGAGCACACATCGATACAGAGTCGGTCATGGTCACTTCAAACGTTAAGAAGGAATGCCGTGCGAGAGGCCTGTGCGAATCGGTAGAAGCAAGAATGAGCTCAAGGACTCGCACACGAAGACAACCGGAAAAGATTAAGCGACCCGAATGCGAACTTGCAATCGGATGTGAGACCTCAATATTGCGGTTCATAGAGTCTCGTCCACTTAAGGGCTGAAGAATGCTTTGCCAAGTCCATAGGACCGGGAAGTGAATGCGAAGTCCGTAGGTAATCATGATCTTGACGGAGTAGGCTGACGTCGCGAGATCATGTGACGTAAGCACCAAAGATCCTGCTCTGCGACTCTGGGTAGAGGGTCAGGGCGCTTTTCACTCAATAACTGTTTCTTATACGAAGTAAAAGTGTGTAAGTCTTCTTCTATCTATATCTTGTCATTCTTGCAAGCACAATGTCGACCTGGTACTGAGCCCGCTGTGAGGGTTGCGTCGATCTGGAACCTCCTTTCCAGAGCCTACAGCGTTGCCAAACGTCACATGCGACGTCTAAAAGGCAAATGATATAGAACTAACGAACTTTTGTTACGTAGATGAAAGTAAATGACTTCAGCTCTCTATATAGAGTATTTTCTATCTTCAGATGCAATGAGATCAACCCAGACTTTCGGGATTGGATGCATGGGGCTGTGCAAAGCTGATGACAGGCTTGATCCACCATCGCATCTATATGCTGACTGGCAAGATGACTCATGTTCAGCGTGACTCATCCCATAATGCCCTATAAAATCGTACATTTTGGGTACTTCCGGTATACACAACTCGATACGAAAATTGATATGATCTAGTGCCAGTTTGTTTGACAGAACAGCCATCACGATGTGTATGCACGACGACCAAGTGGGCGCGGCACCAGAGCCGTCGCCGGACCACGCAGAGCCTTTTCCTTGGCACATCGGAGTCTTCGACGCCCACAATCACATTGGCGAACGCGTGAACTCGATATCGGAATTACCAACCATGAAATCTCGGGCCGTAGCAATTATGGCAACGCGAACTCAAGACCAGCCTCTTATCGCCTCGGTTGCCAAGACACACGGAGTAAAAGGTCCAGAGTGCTTTGCTGAGGACAAAACGACCGTTGTTGCAGGCTATGGAAGACACCCGTGGTTCTGTCATGAACTATTTGACGACTCTTTAGAGACTCCTACATACGTGCCGTCCGAAGATGTCGAGGCTGCCAAAGAGCAACACTACAAGGCAGTGCTCTCACCAGCTCCAACTGATCCAGCTTTCTGGCGCGATCTCCCAGTACCTATAGCACTGTCTATTTTTATCGCCGAGACTAGAGCACGATTGATTGAAGACCCATACGCCATGGTCGGAGAGATTGGCCTTGATAAGCCCTTTAGGTTGCCTATGCAGTGGACGGATCCCAAGCCAGAGCCTGATCCTGATCGGACACCAGGAGGTCGTCAGAGAAGACCACTTAGTCAACATCGCATCAACATTATTCATCAGAAGGCCGTATTCATGGCGCATCTCAAACTTGCAGGGGAGCTTGGAAGACCTGTCAGTGTTCATGGCGTACAAGTCCATGGGATTCTTTACGATGCGTTGTCAGAGTGCTGGAAGGGTCATGAACTTCGGGGTCGTCGCTCGAGAGACAAAGAAAAGAAAAATGGCACAACTTCACAAGCGGCAGAGGACACCCCAAAGCCATATCCTCCACGAATCTGTCTTCACTCATTTAGTGGTAAATCCGACGCCGTCAAGCAATATCTCAAACCATCCATCCCAGCCGAAATCTTCTTCTCATTCTCAAAGACCAATAACTTGCGATCCGATGAAGAGAGGAAGAAGGCGGAAGATGCGATAAGGATAGTGCCGAATAATCGGATATTGGTTGAAAGTGATCTTCATACGGCTGGTGATAGGATGGATAGTGAACTTGAGGAGATGTACCGTGTGATTTGTCGAGCTAAGGGATGGAGCTTGGAAGAAGGCGTTGGGAAGATTGCTGAGAATTATTGGGAGTTTGTCTTCGGTTAATGCACAATGGTCTTGGATATTGAACGTCAGCGAAAACAAGGCTTGATTGTCAAGCAAAGACCTGAAAGGAATCATTGTACAATGTCAATTGAAAATTATGAAAGTTCTAAAAGTCCAGCTTGACCTGCAAGTCCTGCCAGGAAAGTCTATGCCATCGAATCCACGACGCACCAGTACCGAAGAAATAAAAAGAAAGTATACACACAACACAATTCTGTCCTCACTTCTCGACTTCCACCGTCTGGCTCTTCTTCTCTTGGTGAAGGTAGGTTCCCAGTACTTCAACCAGAAACCTCTCTCGGTGCAGCAAGTGTTTTGGTCCTTGCTTCTTCAAGAATCTCAATGCTGCTGCCAGAATGAGAGGGTGGTGTTCCTCTGATAGATCTAGGATGCTAGCGACACTGACTTGCACTCGAAGCTCTTGCGCCTTGACGAATAAGTGGCCAATCTTCTTGTTGGCCACCAGCCGAAGACTGAAATGCTCAAATAGGTCGTGCTTGACGAATAACTCCAAAACATCCTGTAGAGTCACCTCTTCTCCAAATATCTGCTCAAGATCGACGCCAGCGCCGCCTTGAATTGTATGTCTCAGTTGAGATGTCGACTCAAGTGCCTCAGTGATGTTATCAACGGTCAACGGCGGTATAGCAGATATGCAAGGCCGATCATATCCAACTCGATGTCGCCACCAAACGTTGCAAAAGATAGAAGTGACGATGACAGGAATAAGGATACAATAACCCCACCACCTCTCAGCTGTGATCATTGAACCAACTCCGCCAAGAACATTCGCGATACCGTTGAGGATGAAGAAGAGCTGGACGTTGAAACATCTCTGCTTCAACAGCGGAAGTGATGGTGAGCCTTGAAGTTCTTTCTTTGCGACGGTGACGTGCGATCGCATCTTGGACACAACCATGGAAGCCCAAATGGCACTGATGAGACCGAATAGCGCGATGGGAGCGTTGCCGAGATATCCGGACAGGATGTTACTCGCATGCCAGACCTTTCTGTTTGCGCCGCCAATAGCCATGAATGTACCAATGCTGATCAACATCGCGCCCCCTCCCATCAGCAAGTCCATGGCCCACCGGTTAATTATCTCAATTCGTAGTTCCCTCGTTGTGATCTCGATGAAAACATCAAGACCCCTCGAGTCCGCTCCAGCGGGTAGATTCTCCTTCTCGGTTTCAAGGTATTGTTTCTGCTGTCGCAAGAACTTAATATTCCGCCACGCCTTTCTCGAATCAAAAAATGCGCAGATTGAGAGGACGAAGGCAGATGTTCCGCCGATTGCCATGAAAACG